GAGAAACCGGCGAGCGCGCTTCCGGAGGGGCGAGGAAAGGCTCTCCGCAGAAGGAAGAAAAGCCTCGCTCGCGCCCGTGGAGCCGGCAGAAGAGCGGCGTCTCGTCGCCGTGGGGCGAGCGCCCGCGGGTGCTGGTCGCCCCTGCGCTGAGCCAGCTGAGCAACCCAGAGGCCGCAAGCAAGGCGGGCGTGCAAAATGCGGGCTGGATGCAGCCTGCCAGGCTGTTGTACTTGGCCCGCAGGGCCCCGAAAAGATTTAGAAAATGAGTATTAATCTGCCCTGATGGCTTGCCAAAACTCAGCAAGTGGCCCTCTGCCCGCCCCTGGTTCAGACCGAGTAGAGCTCGGCCCCTTGCACGCGGTTCTTGCTCGGGGGGTTGAGAAGGGAAAACGGTTCTTCCGGGGGCTCCTTTTTTCCTGACTCCCCTATTTTGCTTCTTCAAATGAGCCAGTTGCTCACTTGAGCTCAGATGAGCTGACGACCTTCTCTGGGCTTTTGCAGAAGAGGCCGCGGCTGATAACGACATCCACCGGCGGCCACTTCCTCCGGCGAGTAGGCTCCGATGGGAGGGAGGCCCGCGTGCCTTTGAGGTGGGGGGGGAAACATTAACTGGACTTGAAGCGCGGCACTTGACCCAGGCCGGTGGCTCCCAACTGAGGAGGAGAGTGGATTTCTAGAGAAATGTCTTTGCCCCACAAGTGTTTCAGGACCCTGAAGCATTGGCATTTGAAGGAAATCCCCAGTACAGACTCCAGCTGGCCATACTTCGCTGCTTCGTTTGTTGCCTCCCCCGCAAACGTTTCAGCTTCTCTCCGTTTGCAGGGAGATGGAGGGCTGCAGCTCCAGGCAGCACGAAGACATGAGGAAAGAAACGCTGAGAGCTGGGCATGCATGGGGTGGGCGATCGTGCAAGATCTCGCACACCGGTGCCTTGGGGGGTATCCCTTGGTGGGCAGCGCTAGTCATCTCCCCGAACAGGCCGTTCCTGTAACGCAAATCCATTTTTCTGCTATTTAGTAACCGAGCTCAGCAACAGTGGCTTAAAATAAGATTTTAAAAAAAGAAAACGTGAGCTCTTCACTTGCTTTCTGGATTCCTCTTTTCAGGTGCAACGTTTGGGACTAGGCTTGTCCCTTAAACACTACGTGAATAACTTCATGGTGTTGGTTTCTGAGAGGCCTCTGAATGCAGAAGTCCTGACAACTTATTTTCCCCCTCTTACCTGCAGCTGGGTCTTCGTGTGGGAAAAGGGCTACCAGGAGGTGGACTCCGTAGTCAGCTCCGTTATGATCAAAGTGAAAGGAGTCACCGTGACCAACACGTCAACTCTGGGGCCCCGGGTCTGGGATGTGGCTGACTATGTTATTCCACCTCAGGTACGTGCTCTTCTGCAGAGGGCTGCATTAGCACCTGCTTGCCCTCGAGACCTCTGCAGACAAGTGTCCCACTATACCTGAGACTTCCTGCTGCAGGCACGTTGCCTGCACAAACTACCGGGCTCACTGCCGGGCTTTGGGTGATGCTGAGCACCTGCACCTTGCACAGGTAGCGGAGGATTGTGGAGGCTCAACACTTCTAGTCTTGAGCGCAAAGCTGCTGTTTTATAAGGGGTTGAGTATGCAAGTACAGCAGATGCCTGGAAGGAATTGCTATAATGATCCACATCCTCCTCCTCCTTTTTTCTAAAGCAAACAGACCGAAGTTGAACCGCTCTGTCTGGCTGTGCTGTTTTAACTGTCCTCCATGCAGGACCTGATCAGGAGCCAAACAGGAACTGCTGGGAGCAGTTATTGATTGACTGAGCAGGCATGTGACAGAGGAGACCTGCTGTTAACTGAGCAGGCAGTTCCTGACTCCCAGCCCTTGTGGGCACGCAGGCTGCTGGCCTTCGATTTGGACAGGCATCCAATCGTAGTGGGGAACAAATGCCCAAGCCACTTGTAAACTGAGTAGTTAAGGCTGTTATTAGTGCTTGAACAGGAAAGAAAACCTGAGGCCTTTGTTCACAAGGCCAAAGAAGAAGGCAGGTGGGACCCACCTGGGCCTGGTGGGTAGAAAAGCACCTAGCTGCCCTGACGGTGAAGTAGTTCTTATGGATGTCTAATCTAAACCTCCTCTCCAACAACTTGTGGCCGTTATTCCTTGTTATGCGTGGGGGGGGGG